GGCAGGGAAAGGGTGGGAGAAGAGGTGGGGGAAAACACTTCCCTTTTGGGCTTAGCCTTTCTTCTCTTTCCTTCTTGCTTTCCAGAGTTACTTTTGATGCTCCAAGATTCCCCACCAGCCATTCCAAGCATTTCCTCCCAGGACCCCTTTCGTGTTCAGGGTATAAGACACAGAGGGAGTTTCTCCAACCAGATGATGATTTTGTGGAAAGGAGGCTGGGTTCCTCAGACCCCTCTCCTTGCCCAGCGGTGGCTGGGGTCCAGCTGCCCTCAAAGACACTGCAGTTCCCACCTCAACTCAGATGCCAACCCAAAGTGCCTTAGTGCAGTGTCCCGGGCTCCTGGCTCCCCCTCAGGACCCCTGCCAACCTCGGACCAACTAACCCATGTGGACACAACAGGACGGGCGGCTATGGTAGATGTGGGCGGGAAGCCAGACACGGAGCGGGTGGCTGTGGCCTCAGCCATGGTCCTCCTGGGGCCCGTGGCCTTCAAGCTCATCCAGGAGAACCAGCTCAAGAAGGGTGATGCCCTGGTGGTGGCCCAGCTGGCCGGAGTCCAGGCGGCCAAGCTGACCAGCCAGCTGATTCCTCTGTGCCACCACGTGGCCCTGAGCCACGTGCAGGTAGGGCTGGAGCTGGATGGCACATGCCATGCGGTGGGCATCCGGGTGTCCTGCCGGGCTCGGGGCCCCACCGGGGTGGAGATGGAAGCCCTGACCGCTGCTGCCGTGGCCGCCCTCACTGTGTACGACATGTGCAAGGCTGTCAGCAGAGACATCGTGTTGGGGGAGATCAAGCTCCTGAGCAAGACCGGGGGTCAGCGGGGGGACTTCCAGCGGACTTAGAGTTCTTGCCCCTGACCCTCCAGCCCAGCCAGGTCAAGATGGGATGCAGTTCCGGCAAGTTCCTGTAACCCCGTCCCTTTTTACCTCCGCTAGCAAGAGCCCGAGGTCAGCCCACCCCTTTACCGCCACACCATCTCCACTGAGCTGCATGTCTCCCATCAGCCTTCCTGGGCACTCCGGTCATGGGGGCGGGGGTCGGGGGGGGGATTGCCGCGGGCAGCGCTGGAGAGCTGAGAAATTACATTGCCTGAAATAGCCCCCAGAGAACCCATGCAGTTTCAGACAGCCCGGTCTATAACTTCCACTCCTCGTTTTGGGTTTCCTCTTCTCCTTCCTTGAGGGGAGCATAAGGGCTCATGAAGCAGAGGGAACCTACTTTGAGGAGGGAAGAGCATGGTTTGCATTAAGAATGTTCTACTACTTCTCTGAAGCAGTTTTGCCTTCCCGAGTTTGGGGAGCTGCACCTTCACCAACCCTCTGAAAGGGCCAGTTCCCGCCTCGTTTTGCCTGCATCTGGGCCCCCTCGAACTTGCAGGGTCTTGGCTTCACCATTGCATTCGTCCTGCTAGCAGCTCCCTTTCCCAGCCCCTTCTGCTTGAACGGGACATACAATAGCAGCAGCCCTGAGGACTCCTGCCCCAGGCGCCCTGCGCACTGCTGTTCCACCCACTGCCCACACCCCTTTATTCTGGGACATATCAGGGAAAGAAGAGAGCTGAAGATGGCCTTCACCCTCACAGTGCACAAAATAAAGCCACGATGCCAGCTTTGGAGATGCAAGAATGTGGACTCTCTGTGCGGAGGGCACTGAGCTGCCATGAAGTCATGCCCCCGCCCTTCCCCTGCCCCCCACCCCCAGGGGGAAAGAGGAGCAGGAAGGGTGCTATAAAAGCCAAAGGGGCACATGTTCTGTAGATCCCCCGTCTTCCCTTGGGAGAAGGTAGGAGTGAAGTGGGAGGCCTAGAGATGCACCGCCTGCAGGAAGTGTCCAGTGGGGGTGTCCAGAGCTCAAGGGGGTGCACTTACTTACAGGTTCCTGGTCTGTACGTCCCCAAATACTGGACTGGTTGGCTGGGTTCACCTCTGTGGGTAGGCATCTTCGGGTCTATCCTCGGTGGCACCCCCTGCCTGCCTGCTTCCCCTCTACCCTACATGCACGGGTGCTGGCAAATGTTTGACAACCAGCTCTTGGGAAAAGGCCAAATTCCATGGCCGATTTCACACTACCCATACAACGTGAACCGGCTGGCAAAACTTTTGAAAATGTAACGATTAGTGTTCTCAGAGACATGAGCTGGCTCCAACTACCCTACCCCCCGGCCCCCATGACTGCTCCCTAGCACACCTCACATCCGCACACGGGAAGAATGCACAGGTTTCAAGGCAGGCTGGATGGGGATGGTATGGATTTAATATTTTTTTAGTATTACAATATATTCTTATAAAAATGGTGCAGGTAAAAAGGACGCTGCAGATTTTGTACATTAGCCTCACTTGTCATCTGAGACAGCTTGGTGAAAGCAGCCAGGGCATGGCGGTATCCCTGGTAGAGGCTGGAGGAAAATGGCACCCCAGTTGGTAAAGATGGGATGGGGGTGGGAGAGCCTGGACCAGACCCTTCCCTCCCCACCTGGAGAATCGTTTTTCCTCCTGCTGCCCCAGACACACCGGGAAGGAGGTGTGAGTGCTGCTGCTGAGAAGGGGGCAGGTTGGATTAGGTTAACTGAATTTTACAAGGGACACAAAGTTAGCTGGAGGAATTCACCTGAAGGGAGCAGGAGGGGTGGGAAGGACACTGAGGAAAGACTAAGGAACAAATAGGCGTAAACATTTAGCATATCCAGGACCAACTCCTCCACCATCTCCACGGGGCCCCAGCCCCTTGCTGAGGCAACTGTGGTGGTGTATGGTCCAAGGCACTGTTGTAGATCTGGCTATTCTACTGGCCAGAGCTAGGAAATAATAAATAGAGAAGGAAAAAAATCTTTCAGAGTGAGAAGCCTGAGCCCTGGAACCAGGTATGTGTCCTCTGTAAACAGGTAAACCAAAGTGTGCTTTTCTGTGGATCCAAAATGTCTTGAACGACTTCTATATTCCTTGTCTTTCCTGGTGCGTATCCAGTCTTCCATGGCAAGTGGGAATGCCACAGTTTGGACATGCTGGTGATAGAAGCGGAGCCCTCCCCTGTCCCCTGCAGGGGAGGTTGACCTCAGCCCAGCCAGTTTGGGAGAGAACCTTCAGAGACCCCACCCATGACCTTCCCATCATCCCAACGCCAGCTTCTGCGAGGGGGGGGGCTGTCAGGTAGACAGATGGGTATAACAAAGCCCTCTGCAGCTGTTCTTCCTCGAAGCCTTCATCTTGCCTTCACCTGGACTCCAGGATGGCCTCTTCCCCTCTAGCCTGGCCAGGCTTGCATTTGCTCACATCCCTCCACCCCCCCAAACCAACACATGCTGGGCTCACCAACACTATGCCCGCCCCCCCGCCCCCGCAGCTACTCTGGCCCTACCCCAAGAGTCTGATGTAGGGAAAAGATAAGCAGCTGAGGAGTGGGCCTAGCCCACCAGTGTGGCCACTGGCAATAACCCTGAGCTGGAGAAGTAGGTTGGAAGGTGAGAAACAAAGAGAAGGGCCGGGAGATAGAAAGGCAAGGAGCTGGTTGATCGACGGTCAGGCAGGCAGGACTCCAAGGATAATAGGTCAACTCTAGGGCAAAGAAATGGATTGAAAAGACAAACCTTGATGGAGTTGACCTTTCCTTCTTTCAGAAGTTTTGTTTAGACATAGCCATTGTTCCCCACCCCACCCCCAACCAAGGACAGCTCAAGATGGACAGAATGGAAGGTGGGAGTGGATGGGAGGACCAGAATGGACCCCTGGGAAGTCAGATTGAAGAACTGAATTGAGAGGTGGGTCCCAGCCCCCATCCCATCTGTGGTACCCAGCCTTCTGTCCTTGGTTCCTTCAGGCAGTGCACGTCCCGGGAAACTGGACCTTCTCCATATCCCATCTCCCTAGCTTCCCCTGCCTGCTCTGGCCCCCAGTCTGAATGCCTCAGTGATCGCATGTAAATGCAGAGGGCAACTCTGGCCCTTTGGACCATCTCAGGACACCCCAGGGCCGGCCTTAGCCAGGTCCACGTGGTTTGAAACAGTCTTCCGCAGGCTGGACAGAGGGGGAGGTCCCTGTGGCTTCTGCCCTGAGATAGACCTTAGAGAAAGAGTTTGGGGTCTGATGAACAGGAGGTGGCTAGGCATTCAAGTGCTGCCCTCTAGTGAGGGGCTATCAGAATTCCCAGCCAACAGGTGTGGTCACTGTCCCGCTTCAAGACAATGGTTGGGTTGTACAGAGGATGTGTGAGGAGATCTTTGTTCCAGGGTCCCTAGGCCCAAGGCACGAGGTGTGGTGATGATCAGGGTCTTTCTTGAACCCCTTACCAGATTCATCAAGTACCTGATCGTGAGCCATAGCTGTGGGAACCCAAAGGTGAGCATTCTGAGATTCAGGATTAGTAGATAGGAGGGAGATGGCGGTAGGGAAGGAAGGGAGAGAGACTTAAGACATTCGAGAGAGGGGCCAAAGGACTTGTGATGTAGGAAACAAGCACTGCTACTCTGTGTCCTGATGACTCTATCGTCTTCCCAGCACTTTTTCTGAAACCTATCTAGCTAGACTATCTAATACCTCTTCCTTTTCCATCCAAGAGGAAAGTTTGCTCCCAGATCCATGTTCCATTAAGCCTCCTCTTGGGGGATGGGGGCCTGCATTCTCTCACCCTGGCTCTCAGGGGGCCCACCCCACCATGAACTCCCTACTGCACATGAAATCCGGACAAGGCCTGTGGACCTGTCCAGTCCAGATCTGGAACAGTTGTGTGCCAACACATATGTGCCCTTGCTGGGGCGGGCGGGGGGGGGAGAGGGGGGCGGGGGGCAGGGCTCTTTCAGCAGGGCCTGCCAGGGATGTCTAAGTCCGCCTTGGAGTGACCCTGGGGGACCGGGATGCAGAAAGAATAACGGAACAGGAGATGTGAGGAGCCCCTCCAGGTAAGTGCGAGGACCCCTGGTCCTGCCACGCACTGCCCCCACCCCAGGGCCCAGCCCAGGGCTCATTGCAACCGAGCACCAAATTGCCTAAGGATCACGGCCACCTCCGCTCAGCCCCTCAGCCCACCCTTGTCTCCTGCCTCCTGCGGTGGCCAGTCCCCAGGTCAATAATTTAGCCTGCTTATTGCCCGTTCCCGGGTGACTTCCAGGGCCTGGCTCCCTGACCGCTTGCGGCTGCGCTTCAGCTTGCATAAGTCCTTGTCAAACACTTCGCCTGAGCGCAGGGCTGATACCAGGTCGTCGAACTCGCCACCTTCCTCCAGCGCGCTGCCTGCGTGGGCCTTCCGCTGCCGCTGCCACCGCTCCCGCTCCCTCTGTTCCTTCAGCTGCAGGCGGAGGAAGAGTGAGAGGTGGGCTGAGGCCAGAGCAGCCACCCACAGTCCAGCTGTCAAACGAATGGCCTCCCAGCAGTCACGAACTCCAACCTGTGCACCCTGAGGCCTGTGTTGACCAGCTGGCCCCACTTTCCTGCTTCCTGAGACACCCTGTGTCTCCTTGCCACCTCCTGCTCTCCCCCAGTAGCACCCCACTCAGCCCAGCCCTCTTACCATGGTTTCCATGCGTGCCCGCCGTTCCTCCTCTTCTTTCCTCTTCCTCATCGCCTCCAGGTCCTGCCGGGCCTCCAAGAAGGCCTGCAGGAAGGTGTCAAAGATTCCAAAGAATTCGTCTGGCTGCATCTTGCTGTCCTGCTCCCCAAAGTGTATCAGGGCCTTGGAGAACTGTTAGAGCGAAAGGGGTGGTGAGAGTCTGCCCCCACCCCAAAGCATGGTGGCTCAGCCCATGTGGTGAGCTGGGTTCCAGTCAGAACAGAGCCCAGTCCAAGGCCGGGGACCTTTGACAGAGGGGAGCAGGGCTGGAGAGGGGGAGACACCTGCTATCATCAGGGCAGGGGCAAGGCTGAAGGAAAAGCTTGAGGGTGACACCAAGGGGAGGTTGGGAATCCAAGCTGGCTGACAGAGGCTGCCCAAAGCTACCATTGGGTCTGTTACGGTGTAGGTATGGGAGCAGGAGCTACAGACCTTGGGAAGTACTTCCTAAGGTCACAAACTCAAGAGGACCCAGAGATCATATAGTTATTAGGCTAATTTAACTCCTCTGTGCCTCAGTTTTCTCAGCTGTAAAATGGGGACAATAGATTCTACCTCATAGTGTTGTGAGGGTGAGGTGAGTTAATAGATGTAAAACATTAGCTCTAATTATGTGTGTCAGGCACTATTCTGACATTTATTGACAGCTACCATCTCTAATTCAACCCAGAGTGTGCTGCCTGGACCAGCGTGAGCATCTCAGGCTTGCCCCAGACCTCCTGAGTGAGGACCCCTACCAATGGGGTCCATGAGGATGTTGGGAAGCTAGGAAGAGGCAATAGCAACTGTGACCAAAGCTGAGCTCTGGAGTCAGGATTCTAACCCAGCTCTGTCCATCACAGCTGGGAAACCTTGGGCAAGTTTCTTAACCTCTCTAGATCTCAGTGTACATACTTGTACAATGGGGTAATAACCTTTTAAGGTTATTTAAGATAGGTCATGTGATAAATAATGTAAAACACCACATGGTACCTACACCTGGTAAATGGATTATGATCTTTGCAACAGACTTGCTATTGCTTTTCTTAAGGGAGTGAGGAAACTATTTTTCCTCAAAGCTCTGTGACTCTGGGTTTGTCCCTCTGGGCCATCTGGGGTAGGAATGGGTGAAGGAGCTGTGTCTACATAAAAAGGGGAGGAGGGGTTAGGAGGGGGGTCAGACTGGGAGCTTGGGCCACACTTACCTTGTCCCTGGCCTCATTCAGTTGGTCTTCCAGCTCTGAGAAGCTAAAGCTGGAGACGGTGATGAAGTCACTCATGACTGGGACAAACTTGTCATTCGGTTCCCGTGCCTGGCGCTTCTGATATTCTAGCTCCTGAGGAGGGAGAGTGATGTGCTGGTTAGATGGGCACCAGCATAAAAGTCAGGAATTCTGAGGGTCACCACATCTCCCACCCTTCCCTGCCTAAGCTCTCACAATCTTTGCCGCCCTTAGAATTGTGTGAGACATCCCTCATGTACCACTGCCATCTTTCTTTCTCCAGATCCTTGCTTCCCAGTGTGGTCTGGGACCAGCAACAGCATCACCTGGGACATCTGAAGAAATACAGATGCTCAGGCTCTAGCCCAGACCTAGGGAATCTGCATTTCAACAAGACCTGTAGGTGATGCATATGCAGAATCAAGTGTGAGATGCATTTCTAAATCTCCTAGCTGATACGGATGCTGCTGGTCACGGGCCATGCTTTGAGTAGCACTTTAAAGGGCTATAAATTGGAAATTGCCGCCTCCACCACCATAGTGGCAATGGAAAGTTCTTTCTGATATTTACCTTCATTCTCTAACTCATTCTCCCCTTACCTGCCTACCACCCCCTTCCCCCAGTGAAATGGGAAGGGTCTTGAGTTCCTAAATGTGGAGGACAAAGGATTGGGGTCATTGCCATATGGGACTAGCCTAGCCTAGGGCCAGAGACGATATCATCTGAGAAGCCATCAGAGCAGAAATGGTGATGACTAGACACCTGGGTGCAGCCCCCAGGTCCTCTACTGACCCAGGGAGAAGAGACATAAGGCAGGAATTTCTGGGGATAGCTGTGCCCAGTGTCACACACTATGTGCTACCTGTGCCTAACTGGCTTCCAAGAGAGGTAGATACTCTTTCCTATCCACTTGAGTTAGAGTTAAGCATGGGGCCAATTTATGATTCATTCTCCTCTAGTGCCCAATAGACATGCTGGGCAGTAACCTCGCTAGTCTCAGATGTCCCCTCATTGAGAGTCTAAATTTAAGCCCTAAATAATCCAGTCATCCTTTTCCTGCGGGCTAGCTCTGTTGCTGCCTATCACTTGGTCAAATGATAGACCCCCAGATAGTAGGCACCCAGATGGCGGACCCTGTCTGATGTATTTCTGTGTCCCAAAGTTCCTGTCTGGGGTGCTAGAATAACTGGCACAGGGTATGGCCTTCAGCATAGACACAGGCAGCACCCCCTCAAACCCAGGCAGGCATAGATGATGTACTCACCACCTCAACTGCTCTGAGGCCCCTCCTGAGGTTGCCCACCTCCTTCTCCAGCTCTGCCAGGCTGTGGGGAGACACACAGGAAGGGAGAATTGCTGAGGGTGGTTCAGGCAGATGGCAGTGCAAAGCGCAATGGTCTTGGAGTCAGTAGACCCATGCTCCAGCCCTGCTAAATCACCTCCCCTCTGTGCTCTCTCTGTGCTTCTATAAAATAACAGGGTTGTAAAACTTATATTCTGAAGATCCTTCCAGATCAGAAATGTTATGTTGAATATTAGGTTTCTAACACTTAGCTTCTGACTTGAATTCTTTTTGATACCAGCAGGTAATACTTAAAAATCTTAATATGGTGTCCTACATGCAGTAAGCACTTGTTGCATATTAACCATTTTCCGCTGCATTTCTGCTTCTGTTGGAGATGCTTCTATCAGCCTGTGGCTGTTCAGGTCTGACTTCTTGCCAGATATCATTTGTGCAGATATCATTTGTGCCACATCCATATCTCCTTGGACCATCCATTGTAGTGTACAATCTTGACTTCCAATGATGCGAGCACTTTCTCTGGATCCCAGAGCTCCCTCTGCTTGTACCTATGGCCAGAGTCATGCCCTGCCCAGAGACACTCAGCCAATGACTGACAGGAAATGGGGTATGATATCCTAGCTCCCTCACCTCTCAGATGGGATAAGTTGAATAAGTATCCTAAGCGTTCTCACAAACTTCCCTGGAGGGATGTCCCAGGGGTAGCTGGCTTAATAATACTTCCGTTATTAGTATTCTTCCCACCCCTGGCTCACATCCCCACTGTGTTTCCTAGGAGCATCCCTGAAATAAGGATTTGAGAGCAAGTAGCCAGTCTTTATTTGGTTCTCCTAAAAGCAGACCCTGAGACACTGCCCATTCCTAGTCACCCCACAGTAGCAATGAAAGGAAATTTAGACAAGAGTGCTGTGATTACAGGGAGAAAGAAGACTTGGAAGGGCCCCTCACTTGACTTTGGCGGCTTCTGGAAGATGCTGTAGCTCTGAGGGCATGTTTAGGATGTCAGGGAAGTGCTTCTCCAGGATCATGATCAGGTAATGGAGCAGAGAGATGTTTCTGTTGGTGAAAGGTCAGGGGTAAAGGAATGAAGGCCAGGAAGAAACTAGGGGTAGGGGTCAGGGGGAAAAGGCAAGGAGTTAGGGTTGAAAATGGGAGGAGGAAGGGAGAGGCCAGGGTGGGGTGAGATGGAAGATAAGGAAGCAGACAAGATCCCACCTGTCAATGCTGGACTTGGTATCTGCGATCTTGTTGAGGCTGGCCACCCGGAAACCATAGGCACCCCCACGCTGCCCTTTGTTCATGAAGTTACCAATGGCCAGGACGACCTCAAGCATCTGCCTTAAGCGCTTGCTGCGGATCAGCTCCCGGGAGGCCAGCAGGATGGCTAGGAGAGGAGTGGCAGGTCAGAGCCCTGCAGAGACTGGGCCAGGGCAGCTGGTCCCCTTGAATGCCAGGATGATGCCACCACGAAGTTCAGTCTTCAACTCTCAGAGGGGCAGAAACGATACCCACACCTCAACAGATTGATTTACTCCATATCTGCCCACTTCCAAGGGAAGCAGGTAAATTTGCCAAAAGCCAATTCAACAAATAACCCGTTCTCAGAATGTGCCAATTCTTCTTAATATATTTAAAGAATATCTTTTCTTGCATATATCCAAAGATTATTAATAATTCTTTCTATGGATATACACAAGAATATAATACTTTTACTTTTTTAAACTTAGTGATTAAAATTTTAAATTTCAGCATTTTACATATTATGGGACTGTTTCTGCCTCTTTTGAAATGCTGTCTTATTTTTTTTTGAAAGAGAAAATACCTGTCAAATTATAACATGTCACCAATATAATATTCCCATATTTTTGTTCTATAATATAATGGTATGCCTTGTAGTTGATGGTATCCTTGATTTAATAGTTTACTTGACATCTTGTTGAATATCATTTAAGTTTTTTCCCAACTTTTAGGCATTTTAACAATTTCTCCTCAATGCCTTAAATGATACATTTGCTAGAAATACAAACTAAGGTTAACAGTAACTGAAACTTCAGTATTTCATTCCAGTGTGGATGCTCTAGCCCATCTTCAGGTATCATGCACTTATGGCAGATGCACAAAATTGGGATATAAATCCTACACTGAAATTTTGGCTACTAGTTATGGAATATGCTTCTCAATTACTAAGAGTGGTGATAGGAATACCAAGCCATCCCATGATTTTCAGCTTATGCCAAATTGAACATTCCTTAAGATGTTGCTATGGATCTAAAATGAGAACCATCTAACCAAAAGTTTGCAGAAATCCTCAAAAACAGTTAAAAGTAAGTAATTGGAAAAAATAAAAAGCTGTAATGTGGAGATCCCCAGGACCCCCCAGCTTGTACCCATTTCAGCCTCAGCTGTCCTTCCAGGACATTCTCAGTGCAAAGAGCCCCATGGCCACCCTGGCCTGCAACCACTTCAGCTCCAGCCATCACACCAGGGTGACCTCAGCCCACACCAGCCACAGCCCCAGCCAGCCAAAGTCACCAGACACACAGACACACATAGCCTACACAGGGGATGACCATACACAAGGCCATTCCTTCAAGTTTTAGAGAAGTAGCTGTTCTGCCTATTCATAGAAATAAAGACTGAAAGTCAAGCAAAATGGGGAGAGAGAAAAATATGCTCCAAACAAAACAAAACCTCAGAAAAAGAACAAAATGAAATAGAGATAAGCAATATGCCTGATAAAGAGTTTAACAAAGAGAAAATATGAAAAAAAATGTTGAGTTAAAGAACATAAATGAAAAATATACTAGAGGGAATCAACAGATTAGCAGATGAAGGAGAAGAGATCAGCAATCTAGAAGATAGGGTAATGGAAAACAACCAAGCTGAACAGCAAAAAGAAAAGGGTTTTAAATGAGGACAGGTTAAGGGATCTCTTGGACAACATCAAGTGAATAAACATTCACATTATAGGGTTCCCAGAAAAAGAGAAAAGGGGGCAGAAAACTTACTTGAAGAAATAATAGCTGAAACTTTCTTAACCTTGGGAAGGAAACAGACATCTAGGTTCAGGAAGCACAGAGAGTTCCAAATAATATGAACCCAAGGAGGTCTATACCATGACACACAATAACTAAAATGTCAAAGATTAAAGACAGAGAATTTTAAAAGCAGCAAGACAGAAGGAAAGTTACATACAAGGGAAACCCCCATAAGACTGTCAGTTGATTTTTCAGCAGCAACTTTGCAGGCCAGAAGGGAGTGGCAGGTTATATTCAAAGTGCTTAAAGGGAAAAATCTATAGCCAAGAATACTTTACCCAACAAGATTATCATTCAGGATGGAAGGAAAGAGAAAAGAGTTTCCCAGGCAAACAAAAATTAAAGGTGTTCACTACCAGTAAACCATCCTTACAAGAAATGTTAAAGGGACTTCTTTAAGTGGAAAAGAAAAGGCCATAACTAGAAGTAAAAAAACAAACAAAAACAAAAAACAAAACATATATATATATATGAATAAAAAGATGTAAAATATGACACCATATATGTAAAATGTAGAGGTGAGAAATAAAAAATTTATTTTAGAATGCGTTCAAACTTAAGTGACCATTAACTTAATATAGACTACTATATACTTAGAATGTTATATATGAACCTCATGGTAGCCACAAACGCAAAATCTGTAATAGATACACAAAAAAATTAAAACCAAGATTAACACTAAAGGAAGTCACTAATCACAAGGAAAGAGAGCAAGAGAAGAAGAAAGGAGCAGAGAAGAACTACAAAAACAACCAGAAAACAAATAACAAAATGACAATTAGTATATAACTTTTGATAATTACTTTAAATGCAAATGGTCTAAATGTTCTAGAGTTGCATGATGGATTAAAGAAAAATTCCTCTATATGCTATCTATAAGAGATTCACTTCAGACATAAAGACATACAGACTAAAAGTGAAAGGATAGAAAAAAGATATTCCATGAAATGGAAGGGGAAAAAAGCCAGTGTAGCAATACTTACACAAAATGATTTTAAACCAAACACTGCAATAAGAGACAAAGAAGGGCATTACATAATGATAAAGGGGTCAATCCAACAAGAGGATATAACAATTATAAATATCTATGCACCCAACATTGTAGCACCTAAATACATAAAGCGAATATTAACAGACATAAAGGAGAAATTGGCAATAATACAATAACAGCAGGGACTTTAACATCCCATTTACATCAATGGATAGATAATGCAGGCAGAAAATCAATAAGGAAATAGTGTTGCTCAGTGACACATCAGACCAGATGGACTTAGGTATACACAGAACATTCCATCCCAAAATGACAAAAAAACACTTTACAAGTGCACATAGAACATTTTCCAGGATAGATCACATGTTAGGCCACAAAACAGTCTTAATAAATTCAAGATTGAAATTATATCATGCATCTTTTCTGAACACAATAGTATGAAACTAGAAATCAATCACAAGAAAAAACTGGAAAAACACAAACACATGGAAGCTAACAACATGTACTAAGTAGCCAATGGGTCAATAGAAATGAAAGGAAATCAAAAAATACATGGAAACAATGAAAATGAAACCACAATTATCCAAAATCTTTGGGACTCAGCAAAAGCAGTTCAAAAAGGGAAATTTATAGCAGTACAGGTCTACTTGAAATAAAAAAGATCTCAATCTAACCTTATACCTAAAAGAACTAGAAAAAAAAAGTCCAAAGTGAATAGAAAGAAGGAAATAAAAGAGCAGAAATAAATGAAATAGAGCCTTTTTAAAAAAATGGAAAAGATCAATGAAACCAAGAGCTGGTTTTTTGAAAAGACAGTCAGAAGCCTTTAGTCCTATTCATCAAGAAAAAAGGGACACAAATGAATAAAATCAGAAATGAAAGAAGTGACAACTGACACCACAGAAATACCAAGGATTATGAGAGTACTATGAAAAATTATATGTCAACAAATTGAACCTAAAAGAAATGGATAAAGCCCTAAGAACATATAATCTTCCAAAATTGAATCAAAAGGAAATAGAAAAGCTGAACAGACCAACTACTAGTAACAAAATTGAATAAGTAATCCAAAAGCTCCCCAATAAACAAAAGTCCAGAAGCAGACTGATTCACAGGTAAATTCTACTAACCATTTAAAGAAGGGTTAATACTTATTCTCAAGCTCTTTCAAAAAATAGTAGAGGGAGGAAATCTTCCAAATACATTCTATGAAGACAGCATTACCCTGATACGAAAAGCAGACACACTACAAAACAAGCAAACAAAACCTACAGGTCAATATCCCTGATGAACATAGATGTGAAAATCCTCAACAAAATATTAGCAAACTGCATTCAACAATACATTAAAAAAAACCATTTTTTCAAATCCCTATCAACGAGCAAGTGGGTTTCATTCCAGGGATGCAAGAATGGTTCAATATTTATAAATCAACATGATACATCACATCAAGATAAAGGATAAAAACCATATGTTCATTTCAGTAGATGCAGAAAAAGCATTTGACAAAATTCAACATCTGTTCATGATAAAACCTCTCAACAAAGTAGTTTTAGAGGGAACATGCCTCAACATAATAATGATCATATATGAAAAACCTATAACTATCATCATACTCTATGGTAAAAAACAAAGTTTCTCCTTTAATATCAGGAATAAGACAAAGATGTCTATTCTCACCACTTTTATTTAACATAGTAATGGAAGTCCTAGCCACAGCAATCAGACAAGAAATAAGAGAAATCCAAATTGATAAGGAAGAAAAACTATCACTACTTGTAGATGACATGATACTATACAGAGAAAATCCTAAAGACTCTACTAAAAATCTATTAGAATAAATGAATTCAGTAAAGTAGCAGGATATAAAATTAATATATAGAAATTGGTTGCATTTCTATACACTAATGATGAAACAGAAAGAGAAATTAAGTAAATAATTCCATTTACAATTGTACCAAAAAGACCTGGGAATAAACTAATGAGGTAAAAAATCTGTATTCTGAAAACTATAAAACACTGATGAAAGAAATAGAAAATAAAACAAATGGAAAGATATTCCACACTTATGGACTGGAAGAATTAATATTATTAAAATGTCCATAATACCCAAAACAATCTACAGATTCAGTGCAATCCCTATCAAAGTACCAATAGCATTTTTCACAGAACTAGAACAAAAAAACCCTAAAATTTGTATGGAACCACAAAAGACTCCAAGTAGCCAAAACAATCTTGAGAAAGAAGAACATAGATGGAAGTATCACAACTGCAGATTTCAAGATATCCTACAAAGCTGTAGTAATCAAAACAGTATGATACTGGCACAAAAATAGACACGTGGGTCAATAGAAT